CTTATCTCACTGCCCCATGCTGGAGATGAGCCAGGCCGCTCCTAGATGCTCTCCAGCCCCCTCAAGGACTGCTGAAACCCCAGCACATCACATAAACTAGGGTAGGATGCTGGTGCATGAGGGCACAGGCTCTTCCCAGAGGGTGACCACAGTTCATAGTTTTCGTGCAAGAAAACCAACATAATGTGGCCAGACATTCTCATCTTTTCCAAGAGGGCCCTAAATATTTTTTCCAAGAGATAAGCCCTAGTGGGGGTTCTGATACCAGGAATAAGTGATGTGACCTTAGACATGACTTTTCTCTTTCTGGGCTTTAGCTTCTTCCTCATGTAAAATGAAATATTTTAATGGGAGAAAAAATCCCCCCATTTTTAAAAGGTGTTTAATGACATGGGGTTTGTCAAACAAACGTCATGTGCAGGCCAAGTTCAGTCCACACAGTGCACCAGCCTCAAACCTGTCTTGAGACAGCTTAACACAGACCTTGTCTGCTGATAACTAGCCCACAGGTAGGGTACAGAATTAAAGGTTTGAGATCAGGATGGTCTTTTAGTACGACTTTTGAGCCAGCAAATGATATTCATTATCACTATAAATAGCTGATAACTTCCCGCACAATCTCAGTGGGCCTCTCCTCTGACCAACAAGAGATTGACTAACTGCCCAACACTGAAGGTTCTTTGTTTAAACTTTGGTTCTGTCATTCTGAGTACTAAGATGAGCCCACTAGGACAACCAAGAATTCAACAGCTCTTCCCAAATACTGATCCTCTCAAATCCCACTGAGCCTTTCAGAGTCATACGGAGTATGAAAGAGCCTGCAAATTAGTCACTGCCCCAGGGATAGGAAAACTCCAATATGTTGGAAGATGTAAGGTTTGGCGACCAAGCAGGTAGTCCAGTCTTGCCAAAATAATTGAGAATTTACAACTTAAAGGAATTATAGGACTTTAAAAAAAATTAAAGTTGCTGTGCATTCTAGAGAGATTGGAGAGTCACTTTTGCCTGGTTTTAAATTTGGGTGTATTCTTGCCTGTTTGGGGAGACTCATTCAGAAGTTGTCTGCCTAAAAAAAAAAATGGTCTCTTAGGAAGTCCCTGAGTTAATGTTSTATAATGCTAACTGGCCTTGCTTGCCCACTTAAAATTAAATATTTACTTTCCTTACAAGCCATATGATTTCTACTTAATACTTATTTATTTTCCATGTTTGGTACATTTGGCCATTTAGATGCTGTTGCTATTAGGTAAAAACTGATATCCCCCCACTCCCCACTCATTATGTAGTTTACAATGCAGAGTCAGGACTAATGTGATTAAAAGTGACATTTTATTAGGTCAAAGCATATGAACTGCCACTAGTCAACTGTACTGATCTATAGAATGGGCATTTCACCCRGCTGGACATCAAAATATTTCCCTATAATCAAGAGAACAGAGACTTAACTATTTAGAGAATAACAGCTTCCCTAGACCAATGTTATCTGACAGAACTTTCTGTGATGATAGGAATGATCTAAATCTACACTGACTAATATGTGACTACTGAGCACTAGAAATGTGGCTAAGAAACTGATTTATCTCATTTTACTTGTTTTAAAGTCAAACTTAAATAGCTGTATGTGGCTATGGTGCCGGACAATACCATTTTTCATAGCAACTTCTTCAGACAAGAACTAGAAGTCCCTCATTTGTATGTATAGATTTGAAGGTCCAGAAGAGAGATGCTTCATAAAGAAATGAAATTCAAAGTACCTTCTTGCATTGCCACTTTACATTTTCAACTGACTCTCCACCTTCTCGCCAGTGAAACTTAATTTTGGTCTTCTAGTTCTATGTTGTCTCTGGGATAATTACTGTCCCTAGAAGGTAGAATTGTACAGCCCCACAGAATGTTTGGAAGGCAGAGTCCAGGTCACCTAGAAACTAGCAACAAAAMCAAGTCTAAACACCTCCTGATCTGCTGGGCCTCCCCATTCTCATCCATCAAATGGGTGACAACTATACCTATCCTAAAAAATAAGGTTGTTGTCAGTCCTAAATGTACATTAAAGTTATGAAATCTGATTATAAACAGTAAACCTTAAAAATCAAGTTGTGTTCAGTTTCATTTATCCCATGAAACAGCTGGATTAATTACTGAGGATATTTTAACCAGAGATGGTAGATTATCCCACTTAATCAGTATTAATTATGGAAACCCTCTATCTCCAAACTCCAAGATCCCTTTCTTGCCATCCCTCAATCATGGTCTCCTCCAGGCTTCAGCTAAATCAGGAGTCCTGTGATTCAGGTCTGCACCACTCTGTGTCAAAGGAAACTTACTAGATCTTATCCATTGTAGGCCTGGGATATACAGAAGGAAAGCACAGTCCCTACCTTCATAATTCTGACTGACCATTTTTTCCTCTGGAAACAAGATTTTAACAAAAAATCCGGTATCTCAAAAGAATTGTTGTCTCTGACTCTGTGTCATTTGTCTATTAGTTAAAGCTCCCAGTGATAAAAGAATGAGTAAGAAGAATCCAGGTTTTTACACTTTAAAAAGGTATTCTGCTGCATAATAAACCAATATTCCAATTAAATCATTTGCATTCAACCATTTAAACTGAGTTTGGTGCTATATAATTATTGCAGCCTGTAGAGTTAGGGCTCATTTCAGCAAAGAGCATAACTGCTCAAATGATTCRATTCAGGATTTATTTAAAACTCTCCCATCAACAAAAAATATCCTTATACCATGGTACTGCTCTAACTTCTTAATCTCCTTTTGAAATGGTCAGAGGCAGACTTCTAAGTATGAAAGGGTGAAGTTCTCTTATAACATAGTGCCTATAGCCCTACCCACTGGAAACCCTGTTTCCAAACCCCAGGACTCCTTTCTTGCCCTCCTCTGGGGTGTGGCCAGGCAGCCCAATAATATGGGTTTGCCCCGCTATCCAAGTCTGCCCTGTTTCATACAAAGGGAAACTTACTAGGAGGTCTGCCCTGACCTCTCCTCCTCTACTTAAATCAAGAAGGAAGTGGCATCTCCAGGACCTCAGAACCGGAAGGTACTTCTGGAAGGGAAACAAGTTGGCAGACGATAGCGGGCTGACCTTTGGAAAGTTCATAAACAAATTAAGACATCACCAAAGTTAGATAGCATGCTGCAGAATCACTGAGATTTCCCGGGGTATCCAATTAATGACCAGTTAAGACAAACAAGGGCAGTTGGAAAAGTATAAGGAGGTGGAAGGGAGGTAGAAGAATGCTCCCCAACTGCATAGGGCTCTTGTAAAATGTGCAGTTGTTCAGCCTGGGATATGAGACCCTACTGGGTCACTTTTCCCAAACTTCAGAAAATTCCATCCAGATACTGGCAACCAGGAAGATTTCAGCACACTGAGTGAATAGCTGGGCAAACAGAGACGTGTGAGTCTTCCAAGAGCCTCCAAAGTTTCATTTCCTTGGTGCTTCCAGTCTCTCCTAACCTCTGACCTACGGAATTATTGCCAAACTGCCTGTTGTTTGCACAAGGTCCGAGCACTTCCCTGCACAGCTCCCCTGACCCCATCGTGAGTGGGTGGTACTATCTCCAGGCTACAGATAAGGAAACTCAGGTTCAGAGAGGTTAAGGGACCAGAGATATGTAGTCTAGCAAGTGGAATCCAAACTTGTGACTTCTGCAGGCTGCAGGCCTGCGTGGTCTGCAGTAGGCAAGTAGGAGCCTGGCTCCACCTTGCTCCTGTGTCCGGCACGTCCCTAAAAATGCATCCCAAAAGGACAAGCCAACACTTGTTGACTACTTCCTACATGTGCTGGTCCTCCACAGCATTCTCTAAAGTACAGAGAATCAGGAGCCCCATTTTTCAGACGAGGAAATTGAGACAGCCCCTCACCCCAAGCCCGAGAAAGATGACTTGGTCCTAACCTCCACGGTGCATGGACACCAGACAGTGCCACACCTTGTGATTTGTAATGCAAAGGGGATCCCTAAAGCATCTCTGAGCCCCAATGGAAACTCGGGCCACAGTAACACTCTCCCTACCAAAAGCGCAGGAGGGGAGCCTGGCGGGCTGGGGCGGGCAGCGGGCTGGGTGCCAGAGCGCTTGGCCCGCCGGGCCGGAGGTGCCCGCTTCCGCTTGGGCCTGGCACTGCCGACCCATTCATAGTGGCAGCGGGAGGGGCAGGCCGAGCTGGGCCCGGAGTGGCCCCGACCCCCGCCGGGTGCCCTCGCGCCGGACTCCGCGCGGCCCCGCGGGGGAAACGGTGCCSCAGCCCCGCCGCCAGGGGGAGCAGGGAACCTCGTCCCGCACTCCGGGAAGTTGCCACCACGGCCGCCCGAACGTCCGCGCCCGGGACAGCACCCTGGGGCGTCCGCACAGCACGCCTGCGGCCCGGGCCCGCCCCGTCGGGTCTTCCAGGATCCCCCAAGACACCGCCACTCGGCGGCCCGCAACCGGGCGCACTCGGCCCTCAGGTTGCCCATTCAATCCCGCCTTCCTCCCCACGGCCTCCACCGCCTTCCGCCAGCTCCCCCCCACTCCTCCGGCCCGGACTCCAGCCCGGCAACGTCATCCGGCGGCTTCCCGAAACTTAACCCCTTCCTCCGCCAGCTGTGCGCCGCCCCGCCCCGCCGCCAACTTTCTTCGCCCAACTTAGGAGCGCGCGGGCCGGCCCGACGGCCGGGCCGGGAGGGAGGGGTCGCCACGTCGCGCCGCCGGGCCGCCACAGCTCGCCAGACGGCCAGGGACGTGGGGTCCGCGCAGCTCGGCGCGCTCGGCCGCCGCCCCTGCATAGGAATGGGCCTTGGCACACGCCCCCCCACCCGAGTCCCACCCCGAGGGGCCGCGGCCGCGGTGACGGCGGGCGGCGGGCGAGCCGGCGCCGCCGGGGGAGGGGCCGCCAAGGAGACGTGTCACTCGCGGCGCGGCGCGGCCGGCCCCGGCACCCCGACGGCCGGGCCCGCGCGCCGCCACCGCCGCCGCTGCCGCTGCAGGGCCCAGCCAAGTTTCTTACCTGCAGGCGGAGACGCGAGAGGGAGAGCAAGAGGACAGGAGCCGGAGCCGCCGCCGCCGCCGCCGCCGCCGCCGCCGCCGCCGCCGCCGCCGCGGAACCGGGAGAGAGGAGCCGGCCGAGCCTCCACCAAGAAGCCGCCCCCAAGCAGCTGCAGGCGCCGCGACCCCGACGCCGTCCGCCCCGTCCGCCGTCCGCTCCGGCCGCTCGCTGGCTGCGTGCGCGCGTGTGGAGTCGTGGCACTTTCTGCCTCGGAGCTGGCGAACGGCCCCCACCGCCGGGATCGCCGCCTCCTGCCTTCCCCACCCGGACCAGCCATTCATCGAACCGCCTCTCCTTATTGGTCCGCTACCCGCCACTCTGCTGGTCGCTGGCCAGTAAGGACGCGAATGGCCGAGCCGCRGCGGCGGCCATTGGACAAAGAGGAGGGTCTCCGCCTCGGCCAATGGGAGAGGGGAGGAGCTGCGGGGAGCCGCTGGGGGCGGGGCCGAGAAGGGGCGGGGCCGCGTAGCTCTGGTCTCTGCGCGGGGGCGGAGCGGGACCCGAGCGCTCCGCCCAGCTAGGGGTGGTCCCCGACCAGCCCCGCCCACTCCGGGCCTGGGCGCTGCTCGCCGTAGCTGACTTGGAATGGGCTCCGCCTAAGCGGGAGGCGGAAGGTTCGAATCCCAGCAGCCCCTGGCCTGMGCCTTTGGACGTCTCCGGTCTGAGGTGGCGATGGGTGTCACCCTAAGCAGAATTGCGCAATTCAAGAAATTGCTGTATTCAAACCCAACTAAACTTTCCGGAAAGCAGAGCCCCCTGGGGTTTCTGGGTGGGAACACAACTTCTGCTGGGGGGCAACTCAAGATAAGTAATYATCTTCAAAGAGATTACAGTCAACACTAGAAAGATTTCCTTGAATAAAGGGGAAAATTGGGGTGAAAAACCCAGAAAGTGTACAAGGCATTGTGAACATCACACACCCTTTGTTTAGAGAGGGTGCACCCAAGGCTCAGTGTGTCTTTCTTGTTCTGGCCTAAACCACAGCCCCAGAGTAATAATTCATCACCCACCTTATGCACTTTTTATTCCAGGTAATGGGAAAGGTGAAAGGTTCTGACCCAAGAAAACTCACCTGTACCCCAGGAAACTGAACAGTTGGCACTTCCTCATTACATGTGTTCCTTCCAGATATTACCCAACACTGTCTTCATAACCAAATTTAATTAAGTTAACTGTAGGTTTAGATTTTAAYCATTATAACAGTCTCTTAAAACTAATCAGCCAATCCAGTGGTGCAGGCCTGTAATCCCAGTTACTCAGGAGGCTGAGGCAGATGGATCCCAAGCTGGAGACCTGCCTGGGCTATTCAGCAAGGCCCTCCCTTAGAATACAATGTAAAAAAGGCAGGGTGTGTGGCTCAGTGGTAGGGGACTTGCCAGGTTGCATGAGGCCCTGAGTTTGATCCGAAACACTGCAAGAACAAAAAACTAACCCTTCAGCAGTGGTGCAGGTCTGTAATCCCAGTGACTCAGGAGGCTGAGGCAGTAGGATTACAAGTTCAAAGTCAGCCTCAGCAATTTATCGAAGCCCTAAGCAACTCAATGAGACCCTGTCTCTAAATAAAATACAAAAAGGGCTAGAGATGTGCCTCAGTAGTCGAGTGCTCCAGAGTTCAATCCCTGGCACCAAAGAAAAAAAAGAACAAAAACTAACCCTTCAAACTAGAGCCAAAGCCAGTTTCTTTGAAATTTAAGTTTCTAAGAGGCCAAAAGGGCTGTGACTGTCTATCTGCCCACACCACTCCTCTCATCTTTGTGGTTGCAGAATTCCCTGCCTAATATCTATTTTTTTAAAGCACCACCACCATTTGCCATTGGTACTATACTAGTTTTTGTTAGAAAGAAGTTGAAAATAAAAACCTTTATGAGGGAATAAAGAGGAGTTAGGTTGAAATTAAACTATTCATTTCTATTTTCAATCTCAGCAGTTCCTTAGCACATTAATGATTAATCAACGGGAATTAACCTGGATTAGCTTTCTACGCTCATTTTCTTCAGTGAACCCTGGCTTGAAATAAATTCAAGAATTCCAACTTCTGGCTGGCAATTACTACCAACTGGTCTTACTTTACAACAGATAAGCCATTTAACCTCTCTGAACATCGATGTATTTATTGTAGGACAGTCAGTTTCTTCTGGGTTTTAGGGAAGAAATTCATTCATTCATGGATGTTTGTTGAGAGACTGGGATAGAGCAGGAAGCCCAGAGTAATACATAGATCCAGTAAAGACCCAACTGCCCAGGGGCCTGTTCTCGTGTAGGAGCCTCCTTTATTTTGTTCACTGTTTAAGTTTTCCCAGCAGATCCTGGCACAAGGATATGGTTCAAAATTTCAATTGTTTCTTACTATTCAAAGGAGATTTGGTATCCAGGACCACCACTCACAGATGTAAAAAAATCTGAAGATGCTCAAGTCTCATCTAAAATGGCATAGTATATTCATATTTCCTACATGCATCCTTCCATACATGTTAAATCATCTCTAGATTACTTATAATATCTAATAAAATGCAAATATGATATAAGTGGTTGTTATACATTTTGTTTACGGAATAATAACAAGGAGGGGAAAGTCTATAGATATTTAGTATAGATGCAGGTTTTTTCTGAATTTTGTTTTTTATCTTCAGTTGAGTATGTGGGTGCATAACCTGTGGATAGCTCTGGAAGGCAACTGTAATTCATTTAGAGGTGATTATAAGAAACACTGATGGATAAATAGGATAGGAAGGAGCCAGTAAAGAACACAGTATCATGCACTTAACTTGTTTTTTGTTTTTTGTTTTTTAGCAGGGTCGAGGGTTAAACAGTGATTGAACCCAGAGGCACTTAACCACTGAACCATATCCCCAGTCCTTTATATTTTTTTTTTATTTAGAGACAATGTCTCACTAAATTGCTTTAGGCCTCCCTAAATTGCTGAGGCTGTCTTTGAACTCACAAATCCTCCTGCCTTAGCCTCCAGAGAACTGGGATTACAGCATGTGCCACCACACCCTTCGTCAAGAGAGTAACTTCGGTAGGCTGCTAGGGCTTGGTGTCACTGGAGATGCTGGGAAATGATACAGAACACACCTCAGAAATGTCCCACCAGAGGGATAAGGACATGGTTGTTTTGCACTCCCAGTCCTTGTTGGTTAAGGGACTTTAACTCACCCTACCCCTTATCAGCCAGAGAAAGCCTTGAAGAAAGTAGTTCTTGATAGAATGGTGAGTGCCAGAGGGTGTGGGAGGGAGCACCTTAAAGCCTTCCACATGGAACCAGTGCCTGCCACAGCAGCTGGTGTGAATGGGTAATTTAAACACAAAACAATATTTCTGTAAATATTGTCCAGTGRATGATAGAATTATGAAGTCTCTAAGAGTAAGTGGTATTTATTACAAAAAGAGGCTCCCTATCTGTTCCTCCCCCTAATTTAATGTTTGGTTCAGCCTCAACACAACGTTCAATTCAGGACCCAAGGAAGAGTGGCCTCCTCTGAGCTTTGCTTACTGCAATCCCTCCCCACTCATCTTCTGCCACCCCCAGCTATGCGCTAGAGACTCCCACCTGCAGCTTCATCTTCCTCAGGCACCTTTGAGTGGAGAAACCGACCTCCCTCAGCCAAGCTCTATCAGAGCTGGTCAGCCTCACATCCCACCTTATGGTCTGATCCTCATGGCCACACTGCTGTACCTGTGGAGTCCCATCTTTATCCCTGCACAATCTCATCAGCTATTCCAAGGTATAGATGGGAAAAAACCCTAGTTATCCCCTGGACTAGATGTTGGGGGCAATAAGAGGCATCTCCTGAGCTCTGATCTTTCACCACAGTCCAGAATCTGCTAAATCACACAACTCACCAGCAGCACAAGGAAGATTCCGTCTGTGACCCAGACTCCAGGTGCCATCTGCTCAGTGTCAGGCTTCAGGCTCGAGCCTAGGAAACAGGTCCTTTCCGTTCCCAGATGGCAGTCCACTGAGGAGCTCTCTGGTGTGAATGGATGATTTAAACACAAAAGAAAGAGAGGACCCAGATGGGACAGGTGCTTTGGGCAGAGGGGTTCCTTCAGACACAAGGAAGAGGGAATAAACAGGGGCTCAAGGGAGACATTGAAGGTAACCAGGTACAAAGTATGCCCCTGGTGAGGAACAGCCTGATGCACGTGGGACAGCTACCTGGAAAGACCTCAGGGACAAAGGAGAGGATAGGAAGAATTATTCCCCAAAGGTGATCATAAGGGGAATAAGGGAACTTTTTTGGAATGATATAAATTAAATGTTCCATATCTTGATTACAGTAACGGTCACATGATTATAGCAATACTCATCAAATTGTATACTCTTTGAAAGGCTGAATTTGGTTTGTAAGAAAAATTATGATTAAATCACCTAACTGAAATAAAAGGATGCATTAGACTTTAGTTGTACATTTAAAACAAAGCATTCTTATTAGGAAAAATTAAACATGAGAATAATTGCCTAGTATAGTCTATTAATTCATGATAGTACTTTACTTTCTCTACCAAATTGCAAATATTGTTTTAAAAGAATAAGTAGAAATGGGGCATAGTAGTGCATACTGTAATCCCAGCAACTCATCAGGAGGATGGCAAGTTTGAGGCTAGCCTGGGCAATTTAGTGAGACTCTGTCTCAAAAAGAGAATAAAAAGGGTTGTGCAAAGATCACAGAATGTACTCACATAAACTAAGACAGCTATGATGTCACTAGATGATACAGTCTTATGGGACCAGTACTCTTATGTGTGCGATGTGTCATTGACTGAAATGTTCTAAGGCTCAGGACTGTATTGTTCTGTAGATCCAAAGTTTCATATTGAAATCAGGGTTGGCAAAAGAGTTTAGAAACCTAAGCATGCCAAAGCAAGGTCAAATCCCAGGAACAACAATGATCATACATAACATATAGAGCTGGGAGCTGCGTGTGGGTGGTGACAGGAGAAAGCCGATGCTTGAGCACTGGACAGAAAAAGGAAAATCCACAAAAAAGCCTGTATCAATCAGCCTTTGCTGCATAACAGAAGAG